ATGATGAGTGGTGTATGATGAGTGGTGTATGATGAGTGGTGTATGATTAGTGGTGTATGATGAGTGGTGTATGATGAGTGGTGTATGACTTGAGGCCAGGGGGAGGAGGTCGAAAGCTAGCCGAATCGCACCGGATGTACTAGTGCCGGAACGAGGGGTAAGCATCACAAGGACTGTGCATACACTAGGGCGTCCGTAGTGTAGGATAAGCACTGGTAAAAGGTATCAAGAATAGAGAGTCTTGAGGAAATAGCCGGTGTATGGTTATAGCAAGCCTGGGGGGTAAATTTAACACCCGCTTATGCATGCATTAGGTTAGAAATAGGGGTAAACAACTTGTAACGGTGAAGTACAAGTCCTATGCAGCAAGCAGCAGCAGCAGCAGCAGCAGCCGCCTGCAGCCAGCAGCCAGCAGCAACCGCCAACCAGCAGCCAGCCAGCAGCACCACGCAGCAGCAGCGCAGCATCAAGCCGCAGCAGCAGCAGCACCACCGGCAGCAAGCAGCAAGCAGCAAGCAGCAAGCAGCAGCAGCAGCGGCGTCGTCAGCAACAGCAGCAGCAGCACCAAGCCGCAACAAGTAGCAAAGCAGCAGCTACAAAAGCGGCAACCAGCGGCAGCAGCAAACAGCAGCAGCAAGCAGCAGAGCGGCAGCAGCAGCACCGTTTACACCAAGCCACCGTTTACACCCAACCAACCACGTTCACACGTTCAACCAACCCCCTACACGGCGCGCAGCTGGGAGTCGAACCGGGGGGGGGTTAGCGTGATATATCAAGCTTTAAGGCACACAGCTCATCCCACTACCAATTGCTAAAGCAAAGAAGAACTCAGCTAGCATGCTAGCTTTCGTGATGAGTGGTGTATGATGAGTGATGTATGATGAGTGGTGAATGATGATGAGTGGTGTATGATGATGAGTGGTGTATGATGATTGGTGTTTGATGAGTGATGTGATGAGTGATGTATGATGAGTGGTGTATGATGAGTGGCGTATGATTAGTGGTGTATGAACAGTTCTTGAATGTCCTTTGTCTATATAGTAGCGTCTTTGCTACTAGTAGGATATAATGCCCTTGTTACTGGTAGCGATGCACTTGTTACTAGTAGCTTCTTGTTCCGCTCACTTCTTGTTGCGTTGCCCAGCCTGCTGAGACTGCCATTCCTCAAAGTACTCTGTCATAGAGCAGCTCGCCCAAGAACGTCGTGCCCCAATCTCCTTCCACTGAGCAGTGGGCAAGTCTACGTCTTCGCTATTAGGTTGGAGGCCATTGCTATTTGGTTTTTGTTGTGAAGCTGGAACAGGTACCGATCAAATCAGCTCAGCAGCTCCGCTGGCACGATCCACTTTTCAGAGCAACCCTCCGGGTAAGGAGGGCCGCTAAAGTATGGGAGGCTGCACACCCGAGCAAATGTCACCGCAAAACCCTCAAATAAGATTTATATGTTGCCGGCAAACCTGTTACTCATAGTCCTGGCAATAAAAGGAATTGGAGAAGAATTTGTTCTGCATCCAGAGTGCAGAGGGGATTGCAGGGCTGCTGATACTGATGGTCTTAATTGAGAGTTTGATTCAGTTTGAGCTTGCACAACCCCTGCCATTTTACAGTTGCAGTGTGAGTGCCCTCATTGACTGCCTTCTGGTACTGAGTCTTTCAACATTGCTCTTGAATATCAACACCCCCCACTTTCCCAGACTTTCCCACATACTCAATCCTGCGCTTCAAGATGAGCAGCTTCATCAAAGTGATTAATTTGGATAAAGGAGGAACTCTGCGCACCGCGCCCAAAGTCTTGCAAGGCTGCAGCCTTGTAAGATTTTTTCGAGTGACAGTGACTGCCTCACAAAGTCTTGGTGACGGAAATGAGCAAGGCGCCTCAATTTTGTCCGATTCCTGTTGTTCCTGGTTGGAGTTCTGCGGCAGGTAGTTGTACACCTCAAATCTTCTTCTACCTCCGCTCGCCAACGCAATTGAAAGAATCAAGTTGGAGAAACCATTCTGGCTGCCAAGACTCTCCAGGATAGGGCCTGAGCCCAGCTTGAAAATTTATGACTATCAGCAGAGGAGAAAAGGGTAGAAAAAAATGTTGGACCTACGGTAGGAAGTCTAACGAAAGCCAAGGTGTTCAAGCCTCATTCACAGCTTGTCCTCACAGGCCAGGCGACGGCGATGTGAGGATCGCATCCACTGGTGACCCCAAGCAAAGATGTCGCACATCACAATTGTAAAGCTGAAGTCTTCCCATACTGCCCTGGCAGGTGCGTTCAACATTGGCATTGTACCGAGCCCTGAACTCACTACTGCCATGAAGCCACTTGGCTTTGCCAATTGAGTGACATCCTCAGCCAGCAAACGTCAATGTGCAACAGAACAACACACGCAGGGGCCGGGACTGCTGATATAGTTCACTGCAGCATGTGGAGTGGATCCATTAAGGGTTCTCTCTCTCTATTTTATAGGTGGAGGCCATTGCTATTAGATTGCTTCTAGGTTGGAGGCCGTCGCTATTAGGCTCTCTCTCTCTCTCTCTCTTCCTCTGTTCATTTCTTGGCCTATTACTTCATTTCGTGTGACTGCTTCTGCAGCAAGGGCTCTCTCTGAGATCCTGCACCCTGGAAGCATATCTGTGAACAGCTGCCATGAAGGATCCTCCCGCATCCTCTCGCACATCCTGGGCATTATTGAAAGAACATTTGGGTGGCCTGTAATGCGATTCACTAAGAAAGTGCTCACAAAAGGAAAGCAACCTCAGCCCCAAACAGCGCTCCCTTGCGCGGCTATTTTGAATCCTGGCCAACTATTGCTGCTAGTGACAGCAACTACACTGTTTTGATTATTATTGTCACATAATTCGGGCCTATTCGCGGGCAAATCGTAAATGTGATGCTTGCAATGCTACGCGTCCCTGTAAGTTTTGAAGTTAGAAGGCTGAAAGCTCACATAGGCCTGCAACATCTCGCAACCACCAAACAAAAACAATAGAACGCCCTCGAACAGTGTATATAAATACATATATACTTATATACATGTCGCACGTCCACATGTTCTCGGAAATGGTAAGTTGCTTCCAAGATTGAATTGCACACCTCCTCCAACCCTACACCCTCCTCCCTTCCTCCGCGCCACTACTGAAACTAAGGTGACCATCCCGGCCTACCACCAAAGCGAACCAAAGAGCATTCTTCTCTGGCGATTGCGACAGTCTCTTGACACCTTCTTGAATGCTTTGCCAGTCCTAGCGTCAAAAAGCACACTAATTGGAACCTGGTCTTGGGACAACACGTTGGTGTCAGCCATCTAGCCTTCACCTTTCCACTGGTTGGCTTTGCCACGTCTCTCGCCACAACCTCAAGAATTACAGGGCTTCGATACAATGCGTTTCTCGAAAACTGTACAGGTACTAAGGTCCCTTCTTTGAGCTTGTCCAGGTCGGGCTTACCTGCATCACCTGTGCTCGTGCCCCACCCCCGTAAAACAAAAGGGCAGCAAAACATCTCTGAGTGGCAATGGTGATATGAGACGAACACGGCCAACCTGGGACCAGGCAAAATGAAGTCCAAGAAACATGCTCTCGCTGCTCTGGACCAAGCCAGAGGCTTTCAAAATTTATAAGATCCTCCCCGTAATGATCTAATGATGATTACAGTTGTCTTTGCAGGCGGGCAACGGAAGTGCATCGCAGCCAATGGCACTCTTCCCCTCAAGGTCCAAGGAGCGTTCACTGAGCGACAAAGTAACTTCCTATATGCCAATGTCTGTATCCCAAGATTTGTGAATAGCCATTGATCGTTTGCATCCAAGTTGCTTGGGCCAGCGCTTCTATCAGGACTGCTCCTGCTGTATAATATTGGATAACCATGTGTTTGAGGAGATATGCGTGCAGCATGCATGAACCACCCCACACAAGGTCGTCCAAATAGAATCTAGCGTTGGCATCCAGTATATTCATCTCGACTTAAGGTAAAAGCACGGTCACCAAGAGCCGCCCAGCTATAGAGGACTGTACGGCCTGCTGCATGCTTGGGTGTTCATCGAAGCTTCCTGCCTGATCCACAGAAAGGATCTAGGATGGTTCCTGCTGCAGGCACCAAGTCAAGCATTCGTCGCACCTTCCAGCTGTGGTGATGCTGTAATATATATATATATATTTATATATATATGGTGTCTACAGGAACAATTGAATGCTTGGTATTGTCTTTCTGCTTCTAAGCTCTGAGGAGTGATCTGTCAAGGGCTGCATTCCGGACAAGTACCTAGGCTCGAGTCGCACATCTCACATCTCCATGACTGCAGATCACACATGCCGCTCCTTCATCACATCCGTTTCGCTGTCATCATTTCCCAAAAAGGACCTTTATCAAATCTATTGCACAGCCGGTTGCTTGTACGTCCCATGGGTAAGCTGCGGCTCTCCAGCAGGTACCCTAGGCAGCTGTCAAGTGAGACGAAGTCGTTGCAAGATGGAAAGGGCAAAGATATATCAAAAACTTAGGCACCGGCCGAGGATAACCTGAACAAGCAGCACAATGGGAGTAAACCAGGTCCAATGAGAGAGAAAGGCAGAAGTTTGGTGAGAGAAACCGTGAAGCCACTGGAGTTCCAATGCGCTCTCCAATACCTCTACCAGCTCAGGCTCCCCAAAAGAGCGAAATCGGTACAACGCCTGACAAGGTGACACCGCACGGCCACATAACTATATATATAATCAGGAAGAATGTGAAGAAATAAAGAAAATATATGTTGGAAAAGGATACAGGCAGAATGTGTTTGGATTCCTTCAATGAGGCCCCCCTTTAGTCATTATGTAAAGGAGTCCAAGCGCATATTTTTTGTTTTCCTTTTTGTTTCCTGACGCACATGTTCTTGCATCAAGTGATCCACTTGCCTTTCTCAATGGACTTCCGGTCCTTGCGCGACAAACACTGACATCAGCTGGACTGGCACAAGCACAAATGAACTACCATACAACCTATCCTTGCTGGCCCCTCAGGAAGTAGATCAACCATCTCATCCTGCAGGCGGCGCTCACTTCACTAGTCAAACTATTCACTCCAGTTTGCCAAGTCAGCTTCAGACTGTGCTCCAACTCCCTTCCCAGCCTCAATACCAGCCTCCCACATGCGATCGAACCAGGTTTGCATCTCTTCTACGTCGCCAATCCGCGCAGCGCCCTTTACCAGACCTGAGACTGTAAAGCTCCTACACCGCCCTGGCGCTGGGCAAAATGCACCTGTGAAACGTGAACAGGTCTGCTGAGTGTCGAACTGCTGAACGAGACTCGGTTTGGCTGAAGTCTTCGCAAGCGGATCTGCTCCAACCAGTGTTCCGCACGTTCAGTTTCGCCACTCTCCACGCAGGCATTAATCAGACCTCAAGCTGTCGAAAGAAAAGACTTCTTCTGGGACGGTGGTCCACACGGGCTGGCAAACTTGATGACATGATGTCCCGCTGCTTTGACGAATCTATCTAGTAGATCTAGCCAGCCCAAGTCACTGTTGTAGGTGTAGATGTCATCCTGGGAGGATATCTTTTGAAGAAAAGTCTCAACATGCAAACTGCATTCTGTCTGATACTTGCTCTCTCGCACGCCCGGCGTCCAAGTGTGAAGAAACCAATTGTTCCAGCAATTCTTCTGCTCCTTAACATCATTCCACTGGCATGCACACATGCACGCATACACATCAATTGCGCCAGCATAGACCCGAAAAAGCAACACAGGGGAAAACACGCAAACATGTCAGGTCAATGTCAGTCACTGTCGGACTTGCCTATTATGGCAGCACAGCACTAGAGCAAATTCCTGTTGTCGTAGCCTCTTCTTGCAGGCCAAACTGCTGGACAACTGCCCCCGCACAGCACAAGCATGCATAATTCCATTGAAACTCAGCACATCTGCTTGCAACTGCATTGAGGACCTAAGGTTCCAAGGCATTCGGATGTTCACAGGCAGTTTTCGCGGTGCATATCTACACATGGGTCAGAAGCCAGGGCACGCATTTCTGAGCCACTGCTCCGCGCGTTTGATCTTTCCAGCTTGCGCGCATGCATTTATGACACCTGATCCACAAGCAAAATGTAGGACTCTGTGGAACCAGCGGAACGCGCAGCTGCCCTGCTATTTCCCTAGGCAAAAAGGTTGCATGGCGTCGGGTAACATACGGCCCCTGTTCATTGGGCCAATGGATCGACGGAAGGATTGGTTCCCAGCATGCTCATGCCATCGTTTCCCGTTTCACAGCACCCCAAAATGTTGTGGGTGCCAATCCTTCTCAACTCGGCACTCGAGTGGCCAGCCTTTTTGGCGGCATCGCGCAAAGTCATTGCGCTCTCGACCGGCCGAATGCCAAAAAATCCCGATCGGATCACCTCTCTCAGAGCGGCGTTCGAGCCGTTGATCTTCGTCAGACCGTCGGCGATCATCGCCAGGTGCTCGACCCACTTCACTTGTCCTTGTAATCGTCGGAGGTCATCTCGAATGATTTGGATCTCTATTGCTGTCCTCTTGTCCGATCCCCCGATTGTTTCACGAGTCAGGTGATCGTACAGGGACTTGGCGTCGATCACGGCCAGGCTCTCGCGGAGCTCGCTCTCCGTCTCCTCCGAGCTGATCACCATGAGCTCCTCCGTCTTCAGGTGTTCTCTCCAATCTCGGATGTTCAGAGTGCCATCCGAGAGTTCCTTCATGAGCAGCATGGTCCATGTGAGCTCGGCCAAGCCTTTTGACAGGCTCTGAGTTTCCGCTGCCATGGTGGAGTTAACCACACGCTGCAGCTTGGCGCTGCGCCAGGCTAGGATGTTGGTTGGCGCCGGGACTCCGTCTCGGAGATGACTTTCATGAGCAATCACCAGGTGGCCTCCTTGGGAGTGAAAACCATTGTTGGCATAGGAGGCATCCGTCACCACACTGAGCTTCATCTTGGCAAGAGGCTGGATTCTCAAGCTCAGCTTTGAGTGCTCCTTCAAATCCTTGACCACGGCATTCAGCTGGGTGATGTCCTCGATGGTCAGCCTGTTCAACTTGGAAGCCATCAGGCTCGAGGGTCCGGCCGCGTCTGGACGGCCTTCTTTGCTCAGCCAGTTCAAAGCTCCGCAGGTCGCTCTGGCAGCATTCTTCTCCGCCTCATTCACAGCCTCCTTCTTTGCCGACTTTCTTCCTTTCTTCAGCGGGACTGGGCGCAAGCGCTCCTCCACAAACTTCTGCATGTCGATCAGGAATCCCCCGTCCGGAGTCTGTTTGATTCGTCGGCCGTTGAAAGCTGCCCCTTCTTTCTCCTCCTTGAGGGTGACATACTTGCCGAACTTGTACTTCTCCTGGAGCTTCTTCATCTTCTCGTGGTGTGCTTGATGGCCCACGGTGAACAAGTCATCCACTTCTATGGCAATTGCCCCGAGGAGGTTCTTCCGTTTGGAGCCATACAACTTGAAGATGCAGGGGTCCAAGGCTGAACTCTCATAGCCCAGAGCTTTCAGGTCCTCTGTCAGGCTTCGCCTCCAGTGGAGGGGAGCATCGATGAGGCCGTAGCAGCCATTGATGATCCTCACGATCTGTTCGGGATGTAGCCCCACGACTCCTTCCTTCAGCTGTTGAAAGTAGAGAGGACCGTTTGGTCGGACCAGCGGCTTGCTTTGGCAGAATGCGTTTCGAAGGTCTCCCACCGTGGCCATCATGCCTTGGTTCGCCGCGAGCTGCAGGAGGATGTTGAAGTTGACTGTGTTTAACGTTGGTGAAAACCTCTCTAGCTCCATGGCGTCTGGATCTTGATCTCCTCGGATGCAGAGCCTTGACTGTTTCGTAGGAGGTTCGCCAGGCTGCTCAGCGGGCTCGTACCTTCGAGCAATTTTGGTCGGGAGGATTCGGTTCTCCTTTCCTTCGGCCTTGAGGTTGGCTCGCACTTCCTGGGACTCCTTCAAGGACATGACCTCTACGGCTCCACTTCCAGTGACTTTGTTCCACTCGGAGAGGTCCGCTTGTTGCCATTCTTCGAGTCCTTGATCTTCTTGACGTAGATCCACCTCATCTTGCCCCTTCTTCTCCGCGACCCAGGCCTCCAGTGCCGGAGAACTCTTCATCCAGAAGGTGGTTCGTCCACGCCACCATTCTTCCTGTGGCGGAAGCTCCTTCTTGGTCCAGTCGTCTTCTATCGTCCGGAGGGAGTTCTTGCTGGACCTCATGATGGTCTCTCTGCGGGGTTCCAGGTATTCGACTGGGAACGGGCTGTCTTGGCAGATGCGAGGGTTGAAAGGAGCTTTTCTGTAACGGTCATGGTGTCGGATCACCCTTCCGTTCTTCATATCCACCTCCCAGTAATCTCTGCCTTTGCTCTTTTGGTCCAGTCGTCGAGCCCGAATCTTGCGGGCGGCTTCCATGGCTTCTTCCTCCTCTGCCAGGTCCTCGTAGTCGTTCTGGTCGATGAAGTGCCATTCCTTGGTGACCATGTAGGGGTTGTTCTCCCGGAAGGTTTGCTGGAGCTGAAGTACTGGACCTGAGCTTTGGTCTGGGTGCCCATCGAGTCTCCATGCCTGGCTGATAGATTCATCAATAGCCCTTTGAGTTTCTTCCGCCGTAGGTGTTAGGCGGATACCAGGTCGGCTTCTGACTGGAGGTGTCTCTGGTACTCCATCTGGAAATGGATCTCGAGCGGCTTCAGCTGGTGCCTCCTCCTGTTCCGGCTCGGCTATTGAACGTCGCCGGACCATTTCCTCTTCTCCGGATGGCCTGCCCTCCTGCGGCATCTCCGTTGGTGTGTAGTCGATCTCTTCCACCTCCGGTGCCATGCGGACTTCTCTTCGGGGAGCACGAGCTTCATCTTCCTCTTCTTCTTGCCGTTCAGGGGCTCCTTCTTCATCTGGCCATGGCTCATTGGTGAAGTCCTTGTAGCCAGCTCGATGGCACCCGCTTGAACTCCTCCACTAGCTCCCGGCACTCCGCATTCACTGCCCTGTTCCCTGGCAACTTTCCAGACTTCGCCTAGCATGGAGATCCATAGATTTGCCCCGTCGGAAGTAAATCACGATCCCGGGGCCCACCCAAGTAGCCTTGTTGGATGGCTCTTCCAATGGACTCGAGTGCTTCCTCTTCCTTGACCTTGGGGCTCGGAACACGAAGACGTAGTCGCCGGCCTTGTACTCGGTCCAAATTCGGGGTCTTGAGCGCATTGCCTTCTTCCAAGATTGCCGAGCGTTGTACTCGCAGAAGGCCTTGTGCGCCACCCGCCGCATCTCACGCAGCTTCTCGATGTCGTCCACCATCATGCCGTTGATGAGCATGGGGTCGACTCCTTCATCTGACAAGATGGCGGTTGGCAGTCTTGGCCATTGCCCGATTTGCCGTTGGATTGGCGAGAATCCGCTCCTGTTGGAGTATCTGTTCTTGGCTTGCTCGACCTCCATCATCAGCCGCTTCAGGTCTCGTTCATTTTGGACCACCGTCTCGGAGCGGGCCTTCTCGAGGAGTTCCTTGAAGTGTCCTCCATTCTGTTTTCCCCGCCTGCCAGGGAGCCTGGAGGCGATCTGGTGCACCACTATGCCCTCAGCGGCGGCGTTCTGGTTGAACTCGCCCATGAACTCTCGACCTGCATCGCAGACCACGACCTCGGGGCGTCCAAAGGTTCGGACCCACGTGCTCATGAAGGTGTCCCAGACTTCCTCTGGGCCCTTGGACTTCAGCATCTCGCACATTTGGTAGTTGGTTCCACAGTCCACCATGTTGAGAATTGGTGTGGTCATCTTTCCTCCGCCTGGCGCCGCTATGTAGAAGAGGTCGATGCCGATGACTCTTCCTGGCTGATATGACCTGGGCACCGTTGTTGGTCCTTCGGGTGCGCTTTTGCCTCGCACACGTCGCACTTGAACTCCTTGGAGGCCCATTTGATGACTTCCCCTTTCACTCTGGCAGCCCGAAGGAACCGGATGAACTCCGGCTTCTGAGGATGTCCCACGGCCCTGTGCACCTTCATCACCATCTTCTTTTCCTCCTCCGAGACCGTGTAGCTGTCTTCTGCCTCTCCGGAGTTTTCTTCATCGCCTGCGGCCTCTTCGTCGGTGTCTTCTTCTTCTGCGAGCACCTCCACCGGAAACGCTTGACCTTGAAGTTTGCTTTGGAAATGCTCCTGGATGCCCTTGACGATCTCCTTGTATAGTTCCGGAGGATATACCTGAGCTTTCATGGTCCGGTTGCCTCCTTCTAGCACCACATGAGGGTGTCGTCCATCGCATTGTTGATCTAGTCTTTGTGCCACGGGCAGCATGTCAGTCACCCATCTGGTAGGCTTCCGGTTGAGACCAGTTCCATCCACATTCACGCCGAACTGGCACATGTGGCTGATGACTTGTTGGACCCGCTTGTGGGCGCAGAGTTTTTGCAGCTCTGGCTCTTTCCATGATGTTGCCCACGCCGGGTGCTCGAACAGGATGCTCCTTGGTTCAGCTGCCAGATGCAAACTGCCACCGCCAGTCGTAGATGCTCTTGTCCTGCATATAGTATCCTCATGGCTTTGGCTGGATCGCCTCGTCCTTTGTCGATGGCCTGCATTTGACTGAATGGACCACACGGTGGACAGACTGCGATGACCTCGGGGCGCTCTTCTCTCAAGACCTTCCACATCTGCTTGCGGTCGAACTCCTGACTCCGGTCCCATCCAGTCTGAAGGTCGAAGCAAGTTCCGGCTTCCAGGCCTTTCTTCTCAGCGGCAGCACTGATCCTTGGAGGGCTGTAGAGCTCGCTTATCGGGCCAATGTGTTTCTCCACGTTGGACATGGCCTTCTGCAGGTTCTGCCGGTCTCGCCGGGAGTAGCTGGAGTTTTTGAGCTCATCCCATAGGTCTTCACGTTCCCCACGGCGTGTGAGATATACCTCCACCATGATGTCTCCAGCGTTCTTTGGGATGAAGCCGTCGATCTTCTTCTGGATGCCCTTCTCCTTGTCCTGGGTGTAGTAACTCCGGGCTGCTGTCATGAAGTGGCGACCCTTTTGAGCTTTTCTCACCCATCGGACCAGCCTTGGGCGGTTGCATCGTATCAAAGTGCTCATAGCTCTGGCTCCTCCTCCTCGACATTGATCAGCGAGGTCGGTACCGTCCAGGACCGGTCCGTGGTTGATGTTCCCGGCATCGGTGGAATCGGTCCGCTCGTCTTGAGGTCCCTTCTTGGGCTTTTGGACCTCCTTGGATTCTTGGACTCCTTGGAGGTGGTGATGCTCATCACGTCACTCGAAGAAGTCGCACTTCCTTTGGACGCACCTCCAAAACCATCTTCCCTTTCGAGGGGACTCCTCCTTCTTCACCTGTAGCCTCTCGGCTGGCACCCCGCACTTGCATTGGTATGCCTTGGTTGAAGGTGGCGGCATTCCCTTCGAGCTGGCCTCCGGGTCCGGTTGATCTCGTTCCTCCCGCATCTGGACGATCATCTGCATCAGCTTCTCTTGCCGGAGTTCTTGCTCCCTTGTGGCTTGAGCGGCTCTCTTGACCTCCTCGCTGAAGTGCTGCATTTGCGCCATGTTGATCTCGGACATCTTGATGACCGAAGCGGCCTGCTCGTTTCGAAGCTGGTGCATGAGGAACGCGGTCTGCCCCTCCGTCTGCTGTCGGAGAGTCTCCTGCATCATGTTCATCTGCTCGGCCGTCGGGCCCGTTGGTGGACCGCGCATGGCCATCTGGAAGGCCTCCATGACATCCGGTGTTCCCGGAGCCGGAGACGGCAGCGCTGCCAGATTCGAAGATGCCCTGGGAGGAGTCGACGGCGGTGTCGATGTCGAGGTGGTAGCCCCAGGCTTCAGGCTCAAGGGGCCTTGCTTCGGCATCTTTCGCACGTCGGCTGCCCGTTGATCGTGAGCCCACCTGGAATGGCACTGGCGGCACACTATGTAGGAGGCTGAGCCATTTCCTCCCTCACGGAGCTGAGTCTTCGGGCGCAGGCAGGTACTTACGGCCACTGCAGGGCCAATCTTGCTCTTCAAGGGAGGTAGTTGGCGAGCTCGTTGAATCGCCTCGGCATAATAGTCCGGCAGAGGACAGGGCCGATCGTGGTGAGCCCCACTCCAAGCACCAAGCCTCCGTAGCGTCTTGCACCGCTGCGAGCACCAGGATCACGGCGATCTTGTCCAAGACCACCCGCCAGTTTCTCAAAGGCACCTTCGGGTTGTGCACCTTTGGATGAACTTCCATGGGAGTTGCATCCTGTGTTGGCTGAACGCCCACCAATTTCTTTGCCTTGGCCAACAGCGCCGACATGGGTGGTTGGTGGACAGGTGTCGGACTTGACGTCGAATTTCGCCTCACAAGATTGAGCCGGCATAGCTGTCGCAAAGCATGAAGGTGTTGCAAGCTCAAACTCTTCAGACGTGCCGGCTTCTTCAGGAACAACGAACTTTCCGGAGGCGAAGCTAAAAATGTCTATGGTGATGTGTTCACTAGGTAACTCATGCAAGTCCACAACTCGGCCATGGGTTTGCAATGTCATGGTGCCACGTTTCAAGTCGATCAACGAGTCGAGAGCGCGAAGCATTCGAACGGGTAGTAGAAGGGGGACATCTCCATGAACCACTGTACATTCTAGCACTCCGTTCACCCCCGCGATTCCAATGGGAATCAACACCGTGCCCTCGACCTTGGCATTGCCTACCGACGCCCTTGGCTTGTGACTTCTTTGGGATCCATTTGACCTTCAAAGACCGTTGGGACAACTCATACTCAATGGCCTTGAGGGGACCCAGTCCTACCGAACCACCTTCCGCTGCTGTGTCCACTACGCCATGATGAGACTTTGTGGTAATCCCGCAAAATGCCGGTTCCCCAAGCTGCCGCTCCATGTACGCCCCAGCGCCAGAGCGATCAGCTTCAAAAACAGCATCAGATCCTCCTTGGGTCCGTTGCTCTTCCGGATCATGCCGGATCCAAAAACTACCCTTGCTCTCAGCAACCTCAGGGCTCTGGTCATCGAGCCGGATGAAAAAGGCACGGTTGTCCTCCTTGGGCTTGGCTTGACATTCCCTCTCCCAGTGCCCCACTTGTTGACATCGACGGCACCGGGTACGAAGCTTGAGTTGCTCGATGTGCACACGGCGTTTGCCTTTGTCTTTCCCCTTCGCACTGACTGAAGGCTTCCCCTTTCCCTTTCCAGGGAAGTAGCCACGCCCAAGCCGCTGGTCTTTGAGCTGCTGTCGAACTTCCTGGTAGGATGCCAAGGCCTCTTGCGCCTCCGCCTCATCAAAGACATTGTCCAAGTCGCCCTCCGCGATGTACACGAAGTTGCCGTCATCGTCGTCCGGAATCGGGCAGTAGGGCTCAGCCGTCTCGTAGCCCTCTCCATAGGGCTCCTCAAACATGTAGGCCTCCTCTGTCTGGAAGCTGCTCTTGGACTTGCCGTCACGGATCACCTTGTCCAGTCGGCGGAGTGCGCTGGTGATTTCCGCTCGCCCGTACTTGCCTTGAGACCACGTCAAGAGCTTGTGGTCCTGTGCCTCTGTCAGGGCCGCCTGGCGGTACATGATGTACCCGCGAGCGTCTCCTGGGAGATCCACGCCCTCCTTGGTCAGGTTGTTGAAGCATCGCTCCATCCTCTTGGCATACTCAGCGAAAGTCTCCTTCGGCTGCTTCGGGGTGCCGTACACGGCAGTCTCGAAAGCACGGGGAAGCGACACTTCCAAATGGGGAGTGAAGAACTCCCTCAACTTCTGCATGATGTTCTTCACCCCGTGCTCCGACGTGATGTCGGCCACCTCCAGGTCGTCCACGGCCACGGAAGCCGCTCCTGTGAGTTGCCTCAAGAGCTTCACTCCTCTTTTGGCCTCTGGGATGTCCGTCTCGTATTGCCAGAGCAAAACCTGTTTTTCGAACTGCCGAAAGGTCACCTCAGGGTTTTCACCATCGTACGACGGAGGGGGATCACGTTCACGATGAACGTACTCAGCAGTCCTGGTCGTTCTCGGCTCGGCGGCGCTTGCGGCCGCGAATCCACCAGGCTCATCAGCGCCGTCTCCACCAGCAGGCGCAGGCATCCTTCAACGTCCTTGGATCTAAAGCCAAGGCTCCGCGCTACCACTGTGGAACCAGCAACGCGCAGCTGCCCTGCTATTTCCCTAGGCAAAAAGGTTGCATGGCGTCGGGTAACATACGGCCCCTGTTCATTGGGCCAATGGATCGACGGAAGGATTGGTTCCCAGCATGCTCATGCCATCGTTTCCCGTTTCACAGACTCCTTACACTGGCCTGACCCAGCCTGCACCTAACCAACTCTCTTGCGTCTCTTGCGTGTGGCATGCTGCTGGCCAGGACAAAACAGGTCAGATTCGATGTTGTCAGTAGCTCTTGAGTCTCTCGAGCGGGCAATGCAGCCAAGCTACTGTTTAGAACGACCAGGCTAGATTTGAGCCTGAGGCTCGTCATTTGATCTAACGAATCCTCTGCTCCTGAAGAACCATGTATCACTTCTGGGTGGTCTTTGCACAGGTCAAGACAAAGTAGCCACGCACCCTCTGTCACTAGGTGTGCGGCTCTTGTAAAGTCCCAGCTTGGCATTTGCTTTCACCAGAGTGCCTCTATCTGCTGTAAAGTCCAAAGGAACGCAAGCACTGCTGGTGCTAAGCCAAGAGTCTGAACGTCACTGTATCCGGCGTGCAGGAAGACCGGAGCAAAGCATCAAAGCAGTCAGAGGCTTTGCTCGGTTGTGAACTGAGGGCGTACCTTGATCAACTCTTGATTCAATCTGTAGCCTCCGAAATGCCACCGGAATGTCACCCTCTCCCGCAGTTTATTCAAGATACGCATTAATGACATGGTTGAAGGCCATTGTGCTTACTTCCAATTTTGAATGTAACCTGAGTGAATCAGGCAGTGGCAACCCACCTCATCAGTGCCGTATGCATGATTCGAAATGTTAAGCAAATTATGTCCAACTGTACTCTGGGCAACAGCGTGTTCATCCAAATCTCCGAAGCGGTCGTATCTCCAGCATTAGCACACGCTTTTAGCAAAGCGCCATAGCACTGGATATCTGGCTGCACTGCCAACCTGATCTTGTCAGTTTATATCGAGGTGCTGAGACTGTCATCTGTAGGTTGCAGTGCTTCAGTCTTTCAATTGCGAACAGGGCTCTGCACGCATTTTTCGAAGCAGCGCGCTGCTCCAGCTGAGTCACAAGCTTCCGCATAGGTATCAAGCAAGCCTCGGATCAAATGTTGAACCAGTTTCAACTGCTCCTAACACCTTTCACCCTAGTGGTCGTAACGCCGAGGTGCTCGACATGATCACTGTGTTGGCTGGAACTCGATTCGCGAGCATCCTTTGAAACCACCTTTCCTCGAGAACATACAACAGGTTCATTAATGTCACTGTTTAATGAACACGCTTTGGCATAGTTGGTTTAATTTGGTCAAGTTCATGTATCTAGCTTCATGTAAACCAGCTTAGCTGCAGCGGTTTTCACAGAGGCAGTTGAGCTGCAAGCCTTCAGCATGCTACCATAGCTCATCTCATCGACATAGCCTTCCTCAAGCAACTTGAGCAGTGTTGCAAAATGGCACTGTCATCTTTCAATGCGTCTGTATGCTTGCATAAACCTTCTCTCTCTCTCTCTCCCCTGTATCCATCTCTCTGTATGTCCCCACTTCAGGTGGGGCAAGAAGCGAGGCCGGGCGGCGCCATTGCGGCATCTCGCTCTTCCACGTTGTTAGTCGTGGTGTGGAGGGAAGATTGGCAAGCAAGGGTTTGGAAGACACCAAGGTATTGTCATATACTGCAACGACCAAAACTTAAACAACGGATTTCTAGCCCAGTGAGAATCAGTTTTACAAATTGCTCTCCTGCTTTGTAAAGTTAGAATGTTGCCACGACACTGCCTCCATCTTCAGCATCCACTTCTCCTGAGCAGTGCAAATTTCCACCACATCACCGACTGCCCCAAGGGGTGGCGATAGCATTGCTGCCCAAGTGGCAGCAGCACAAAAGTCGCCATTTTGCGCGGCTCCCTTCACTAAGCTTGTGTAGCAGTGCTGGCCAGGGTGCCTGAAGTGCATTGAGGAATCGTGAAATTGTTTCAAAGCAGCACCGCTTGTATGGATCCCGACCTGTGTTTTCACCAGTCATTGAAAATAGAATGCTAAATACTAGTACAAAAATTATAGAATGGCACCAAGTCTATCAGCAGGCAAAGCACTGCAACGTCAAACGCATGCTTCAGCGCCTGAACATTTGTGGATTCGATGAATATTGATATTAGCCTCTCTTCCTTGAGCGATCTGGCCCCCGTGATGCAAAGGCAAGCGGGGCCGCCTTACATATCTTCACAACCGAGGTGCATCCTGGCCAATTGCATCTTCCCAAGCCACAGGTCAGCTCTGCCCATTTGACCAGTTCGTGCGCAGGCATCGAGCATGCTCCCAAAGCTGACTTCATTTGGCTGGAGCAAGCCTCACATTGTATAGCAATGGCTCACTTTCGGACAGAGATTGCGTTGGATATGGTCACGTGTCACAAGGTGGCTGCAAATTGATACCAAATCCTGGGAATTGGCTCCACGGCTCTTGGTTTCGAAACGACATTCAAGCCACGCCGGGAGATCTCGTACATCCAATTCTCTGCGGCGTCAAGCGTGTTCCGGCTCGCTTTCACCATGCCTGCCAAGTGGCTTAAATTTATCGATATATCTTATGTATCTTACAGCCTACCCAAAAGAGCCAGCGGACTAGAGTTGCAACCCAAGGTTGGATACTTGTCGTCACCTCCGTGAAAAAGTCAAAATTCAGGCGGTGGGAAGTGCCTTTTCTGGTGGGAAGTGCCTTTTCTGCGCAAAATCGTACAGTAGGTGTGGTGACTCTGGTGTTGCTGAGTCTTTTTTGTGTGTGTGTGAAACCCTTGGAGTCACAGGGAATCCCTTGATTTGATGTTGATTTCGTTTTTGAGCAGGGGGTGCGGCATGATTGTGGGACCGCACTCAACGAAGCTACCACATTTTTGGGATACCGAGTTAGATCAACTCGACGTACCTGCTGTTTCACCCCTGGTTCCTCAGGTTTTTAATGAGGCTGGCGTGTGGCAAACCGCAAGTCGTGTCAGTACGCATTATCTCGAGCGTGTCTTGGAAACCTGCTGATGTGGCTTATTCCCAGGCTACGCGTGTCCTGCACAACTTCCTTCTCCTGTGTCACAAAAATGCAGGTGCTTTGATGAGATGACACAAAATCGCAGTGCACTTGGCTGCATGTTCAGCTGTGGAGATTCTGCCCATGAAATACTTGCAAGATCTTCCCCTTGTTGTTTGGTGGCATATAGAAGAATCAGTGCACTCGCCAGTGCATGCCAGCGTACTGTTGTAGCTGATGATGTCGGGCTGCAAGAAGCTTTGGGTCATTTCCTCCTTGTGAACGATTCTAAGCAACATGTTGGCATCAGCACGGGGATTTCTGTGACAATTAATTGCAGGGATGTCATCGTCTAAAACAAGACTGCTTCATATAAAGGTACAGTAAGGGCCTCCTTCACGGCCCTTACCCTCCTTGTTCCAAGTATATACCCGCTTTTACTTAAACCCAGTCTCAAACTTCGATCGAACAGGCGTTCGACTAGTGCTTCGCTTGACGGGTTGGCAGTAGGGCCAGGCCACAATGACACGGATCAAATATGGATGGAAGTGTGATTCAAAGCAGTGGTGACCTCATACAGTAAATCCAACAAGTGCACCCACACAAATCCAAGACTCAAACCATCTCTCAGCAGACTCTGCGTCCCCCCGTTGCGCGCAGCAATTTATGGCCTGAAAACCAGCCAAATGTTGGCCCAGTTGAGCTGCTAAAGAATGAAGACGTCAGCGTTGAATTCTTCGGACAGGCATTCAATTTGCAACTCAAGCTTGAATACCAAGCATCAATGTTGAAACTCACCGTGTCTGTCAGAGCCTTTGCCTGAGATATGTGATGCGAGAACATCTATGAAGCATGAAGCCACTGCAAATCCAGACAGCGTGGCCTGATGCATTTCTTGTAGGATCATATCAGCCCTGACCTTTCCACGCTGCTTGGCACATGCTGTGAGGACGGCGTTCAGCAACGACGGATCTGTCCTTAGTTGGTTTCACCCCAGGTTGTTCCATATATAGCATACTACAGTATATAGTTTACTTGAGGCCAAGGGGGGGGGGCGAAAGCTAGCGCTCCAGAATGGGAAAGTGGAGGGCAGCGAGGTAGGAAAAAACACGGCGCTCTTTTTGGAGGCAGGAGTGAAGAGTCCTTTATATGTGGCTCTTTGCCCGGATCCTCCTGCGAGAGAAGAGAGAGAAGAGAGACGGAAAGACGAGAGACAGAGAGGAGAGAGAGAGAGAGAGGAGAGAGAGATGAGAGAGATGAGAAAGAGATGAGAGAGATGAGAGAGATGAGAGAGACAGTGAGACAGTGAGACAGTGAGACAGTGAGAGAGTGAGAGTGAGAGTGAGCGAGTGCGGCCGCAAGATACGCAACGCTAACCGCATGCCAAAGAGCGACGACAGGACGGAGTCGAACTCGCGAAGAGGGAGGTGGGGAGAGGGGAGGTGGGGAGAGGGGGGGGGGGGGGGGGGGGGGGGGGGTCTTCGACCTGAATAATCAGGGGTTAGGATTTGCACCCGGTCGAAAGAAACCTTGCTATCGCAAGAGTAACTCCAGCTAGCTTCGCTAGCTTTCGTGACTTACTCCATCGACGACTTTGAAGCACTCCAACGACATTCCATCCTTTTGTATCCGCATGCACGTATCCACATCAAATGAAATCCATGGCTCAGCTCACCTTGATTCACTGCCCTTCTCAGGAATGGCAGGCTGTCGGAAACGTTGTGCCCTCTTGCCAGTGCTAGAGTAGCTGCTTGGGAAGGCAACGAAGACACCTCGGCATTGTGCGAGGACTTGCACTCTCTGCGTCGCTTAGCCTGAACCACTGAGCTCTCTGCATCGCTGGCGTCTGGCCCAATAGCCTGAATGGGAGGCTTTGAACAGATATCTACATCAGGGTGCGTTTCGTGCCTGGGTTGAAACTTCGTCCCTGGTTTGGCAAGCTTCATCCGGCCTGCGGCTGAGTCAAAATGTTGCAAGAATTTTGGACTTATTGAAACGTCAGATTCTGATGAATTCAGACCTGTGCCAGCGATATCGGCAAAGGAAGCATGGGCGCCTGGAGCGCCTGTGGAAGCCTCAGCTCTTGTGCAATTAACGAATTGTGTTGATTGGTTCACAGCGTCCTTGCTGCCCCTAGTAGCTTCTTGCTCCTAGTAGTAAGGCCAAGAGCCCCTA